GGAGTCTCACCGAGCTGCTCTGCCGCTGCGGTGACCGCACAGGAACGGCTCCCATCGCACACGAGGCTCAGCCCCGGCCTGCCCTGCTCCACCGCACGCCCCTGTCACCCTCCTTTACGAGCAGGCTACCCCCAGCCTCTTGTCACAGCAGGGACATTCACTGGGGCACTGAGCAGGCTGTCTCATGTGCAAATTCCCCAGCCGCTGGCTACTTCTAGGAACTAGTAAATCCAGGCTGTTGCTGCCCAGCCCACGTATCTTCACCAAACAAACAAACAGAGATGATGGGGCAGGGGTAGAGCTTTTCAGACGTGTGAAACTGGCTTCCAGGACTGGCCATTGGCCCCAGTCAAACACAGCAGTGTCCCAGGTCACTAAATGCTTCTTTGAGGGCCAACAGCAAGTGGGTGCAGAAGAGTCAGGGCTGCAGGACTCGGGCACCCCAAGTGCAGTGAGCTCTTTATCTGGTTCACAGCCTGCGGCGGAGACACGGCGCTGGCTCCAGCATCTCCCTTCCCAGCACTGTGTACACAACCTGGGAGCAAACAGGAGCAAGGTGAAAGTCAACCTTTCCCACACAAAGGGGTGTGAAGCTGGGCCAGGCTGGGTGGTGGCAGAGCAGGGAGAACTGTTAACTCTTGCTGGCCTGCAGGGACAGATAAGTGCAGGTCAGTCCTGCTGCTTTCGCTAGGTACTCAAACTCCAACACAGCTGTACTGGTGGTTTTGGTGTCACTTCACTTAACACAAGTTTAAGAACTGGATCTCAGGTTACCAAATAAACCTGAGTCACCAGCCTTGGGACTACTGAGGATTGCTCTGCAGTCAGGACTAGGTCTCCAGCCATGGAGATCCCCTGGAAGGGCCCTCCGCTGAGGAGATGCCCACAGAGAGCAGACCTAGGTGCACGTGGAAAGGCTCTTAGCGGACACCAGCATGTGACTGAGCACACGAGCGGCCAGAGCATCCCAACACCATCCAACTGGGAGAGTCCCACCAGGTCACCCCTGGGTGCCTGCAAACCAGCAGGCCCAGCCTGTGGGAATTGCTTCCCTACTCGGTGCTCTTAGGGCAGCACATTCTCTGGAAAGGTTTAAGCTTCGGCAGGGCACGCGGGGCAGCGTGAGCCGAGCTCTCCCACTCGAGACAGCTGCTCCGGAGGAACCGTGCGGCTCTGCAGGCAGTGGCCCCAAGCAGAGCCACGCGGCTAAACAAAGCCCATCTCTAAGAGAGGAAGCAGTGCAGCCAGGTAACAGGCACAGACAGCTCTATTTACTTTTAATACTTAATAAGACAGGAAATTAGAAGCAATGTGTGTTCCAGAAGAAGCAATTCCTACCAGGTTAGAAAGGGAAGGGGCACTGCTCTTCCCCTCCAAAACGGCCCTTTTCTCCCCTCTCTCCTGCCAACGCCAGCTCAGAGCAGGGGGCAAACATCACCTCTGTCCTCGGAGCAGAGCAAACACCATTATTTCAATCCAGGTCGCACCTAATCCCTTACCACATGGGGCACAGTTAACCAATCCACTTGTGCTAACTCCTCATGCCCCTGCACAGAGGGTACTCGTTTACCTCCCGTCCCCGGCCAATCCATCCCACATAATTCCCAGCACACGTGGCCTGGGTGCCAAAGCGCACAAGTTAATCGGCTTCCAGGCGCACGTGTGTTTCACTGCATGACAGGCTCACCCCAAGGCTCCCAGGCAGGGGCAAATGCTACCATGCCTTTGCTCCACAGGGTCCTGAAGCACCTATAGGCACATGGCAATCACAGTGAGCTGTAATAAAACCCCCATGTCCAACGACTAAGGGGAGATTACGGCAAGAAGCACAAAGCAGGGCTTGCCGGCAGTGCTAGGGACTGGCGCTGCTCCTCCAGGACGAGGAATTGCTCAACTCCCATTGCATTTGCATCATGCATTAAATGCAAGAGAAAAAAAAAAAAACCCATTGAGTTGTAGGCAAGGAGCTGGGCTTGTTGCACACAGCAGGGTGAGAGGAGCAGGCAGGGGATGCCCCAAGCAGCCACTGGGAGCGGGGACTCATTTGAGGTCATTCAGAGAAGCCTCCGCAGAGACCCGGCCCAAGCAGGTACCGTCTCCCCGTGGGCGCGCAGGGAGCCCCGCGCTCGCACCAGCCCCTCTCGCGCTCCAGCGATGGACGCTGAGGCTCGGCCTCGCTCACACCCTGCTGCAATTCTTTAAGCTCCCGGGCGGCTCCTGTGGCAGCGGAGCCGTAATCCCCGTGACGATGGCACCATAATCCGGGGCTGCGGCACTGAGCCGCTCTCCTGGGTGCCTCCCTCGCCGCAGGGATGGATGCGGGTGCCAGGGAGTGCCCCCAAACAGGATTGCGGGCTCTCCTGCCTCACAAACTCAAACCCCAGTTGGGTTTTAACCGGTGCACATTTGCTTACGCACAGCCAGTCCTCAGTCCACACGTTCCCTCAGTCCAGCTGCTGGGAGCAACAGGAGGAAGTCAGGGTGACTCCAGAGGAGCAGACTCTTGTTTACCTGCTCCTGCTCCCTTATCAGCCAGGAGCAAAGCTGTAAAGACAGAGCCTTCCACCAGACAGGCACACACTGGGATCTGTTTACAGCAACACTGGCATAATAGTTGCTCCAAGGCCTTAATTCCCAACTCAAGGGAAAGCTCCGGAGCCGTGTGCCAGGCCAGGCTCCCACTCCAGCTTGAACAGGCACTTGCAGATGCCCCTGTGTCAATCCCCTGCCCCAAAGCAAACAGAGATAAGAGTTTGGAAGAACACATAAGGAGTGGAGAGCAGGCTCTCATGTGACTCAAGCAGGAAAACAACTCGCACAGAGCCATTTCCATCACCCCAAAGGCTCTTCCAGGCCTGCGGAGGAATTTGTGGCTGGTTCACAAAGATTTTGATACCAGTTACAAGCCCACTCAGAGCTATTTCAGATCCATCACTACCTAGGGCTGAATTCAGAGGCTGGACAAATCTGTTCTGCCAGGATCCAGATAAGGCTAAAAAGGGGGATTCAGTTTTTAGACTCGTGACTCACTCTGAGGTCCCTACCCTAAACTAAGGGGCTCCCATCTTATCCCTGCCTGTGGTGGGAAAAAATGGACACAGGACCCCAGCAAGGCAGCTTTTCATCAAGGCTGATTTCCCATGCTCATACCTCAGGCCTGGGATATTTATTATATCATATTTCCCCCTCGCCCCTGGGAGAGGTCTGCCCTCACTGCCCTTTCCTGGAATACAGCTACACCCCAACATTCCCCATGCTGCGCATTCCAGCAGACTTGGCTTGGCAAGGAGCGCGGGACACACGTTTGGGGAATCGTCTGCCTCCCTCCTGCCAGTGAGGTTAGCAAGACGAAGGGCTGCAGACTCCTAAGGCACCATGCCTTTCCTCACCACGAGCCCAATCGCAGCCCGTGTGTGCGGATGAGATTCCCAATCCCGCGCCACACGAGCGCCTCTGCTCCCACAACCCCTTTTCATCTAATCAGCACCAGCAGCCCCAAGGTTAGCACCGCTCCACTATCCTTTATCCGGACAAAGATTTCAACAGTGGGGACTTCCCAGGTAGCTGCAGTAGAGGCTGAGCTTTTTTTATTATTATTTTTAAATAGAGAGACACATTCCTGCCTTGTGCAGAGGTTGCCTTGGCTCAGACCCAGAAAGCAGACGCCAGCACCAGACAGAGCAGCTGCATATGGGGAGATTTGTCACCCTGGGGAGCTTCTCCTCTCCGAGAGCCCAAATCCCCGCTAGGAAAAGGGGCAGGCAGCAGCTTCCCAGCACTCCCTGTCCACTTCACTGCTCGCTTGGCTCTGGAGAGGGTGCGCTCGGCTGGCCAAGCGAGGCATTTAGTAACCAACCCGCAGCACCAGCTCCTCGTACTCAGCCTCAGGAAATTTAGAGTTGGCGCCAAGAGCAGCCCTCACAAAGAGCCTCCTGCAAGAGCCTGGCTCCAGAGCCTGCTCCGGTGCACACTGTGGATTTGCAATAAATATTTATCTTGCTGGGAACACAGTCTTCCCAGCGAAAGAGGGACATCAGAGGGGACTACATTTCCAGCCTGAGAAGTAGAGGAAGAGGCAGCGAAAAAACGCCCTGTCTCTGAAGGGGGGCACCAGCCCCCAGATGAAGCCCCTGTCCCCTTCCTAGCACCAGGATCAGCAGTTGGCCAGAAGAGCCCCACACAGTGTCCCATCCATCCCTGGGGAGCTCCTTCCAACTGCGGCATCCAGGCTGTTTTGCTGGAAGTCCAAGGCAGAGCTTTTACAGGGCTGTAACCACCGCATTTTAGCGCTTTTTATTGCTCTAGCTTTCCCGTAACGGCGGCTAAAGGGCAGGAGGCAGCATTAGCCTCCCAGCAAGGTAAACACAAGGCCACGGCGCTTTGTCTTCGAGGGTTTTCACAGCAGACACTTTGTGTGGTTTTAAACTGCGGTCGAGACATCTTTTCCCCCCTCAGTAGTTAAGACGGAGCCAGAAAAACATCAGAGGACAGAAATCCTTCCCAAGGAAGGCTCTGTTTTCACCGAGCAAATGCAATTTGTTTAAGCAAGAAGAAACCTTGTTTTTGCTGCATGGTACTGTTTGGGTAACAGTATTATGGGCCTTGCAGTCGCCTTCCCAGCCCAAACACCGTCTCACCCAGATTTTAATTAGCTCCTTTGATTTTTAAGTTATACCAATCATTTGTCTAACGAGAGCCGCTCAGTGTTTTACAAGCAGAGTCTCAGCCTCAAAGGGCATAACCGAGCAGCTGTGCTCGGTACTTGCAGCAAAAATAAGGTTTTTCACCAGAAGGGCCAGCAAGCCTTTAGGACAGAGCAATTTCTTGCGTGCTTCCCCCTCCCACACTGACATTTTGTCTCAATTCGGGACCAAGTCTTTAACCTCATCCTTGAGGCTTTCCACTAGCCTGGCTTGCTCTGAGTGGTCACAGTCGTTTTAGATCATACTGCCTCTTCCTCCTCTCCCCCCTGCAACTCATCTCCAGCTGAAAAACACAGCAAACATTTAACTGCCCAAGCAAGTCAGCTGCTGCTCCAGAAAAGGATCTCGTTTTGCCAACATTAGCTCAGTTACTGGTAGCAATAGGATGTCAGCGACACTCCAATAGCTTTTTACCCACCAAGTCCCACAGCCCCAGTCCAGGGCAGATTAGACAAGGGGCAGCACTTAAGATATCTGCACTACCAAAGATATCTGGACTACTGAGGACACCACAGCCCACCAGGCAGGCAGCACCGGCGCTGCCTTCACCCCCCTTCTGCCTGTCCTGAGCCATTTCAAGGAAGTTTGAGTCAGTGCTTAGGGTAAGGGGACAAAGCCCTTACTCAGAGGGTGACAATTTCTGCAAAAGGGCCAGGCAGTTGCCAGAAACCTGAGTCAGAGCAGGAGGGATCAGGGCTGAAGGCGACGCACAGGAGACACAAGCAGGACAGCGGCATCAGGCACCCGCTCATGGGCAAAGACAACAACAAGTCCAAGAGTGCAGCCCTGGCCATACATTAACATGGGAGCCTCTCCTTCCAGAGCCTCTCGTGCAGCAGCTCACTGCAGGGCCACCGAGTCTGCCTCATCACAACAACCTCATTCTAGCACAAATCATTCAAATCCTTCATCTAAAGGGGTTGCATTTCTGCGTTGCAAACAAACAGGCACCCATCTTGAGGTCAGCCTTGTCCACACCACTTTTGCAGCGTTTTAACTGCATTAACTTCAAGTCGGAGGCTGAAAAGCAGCACAGCCCTTCTGTTGTTCAGGTATGAAGGGACAGACTGTTGGGAACGGAGAGGGGAGCAAGCAAGGATCTGGAGAGGATAAATGTTAACTCGGGAGCAACAAGGTGCTTGGATGGATGGTCCATTTTGTCTAGCAGGACCAATAGCTCAGGAATGCTGAGTACAAATGAGCCTCAGTAACTTAATCAACTCATCTAATGAGTCAGCTCCAGGAGTCACTCATTCTGCAGGCATCACAGCACCCAGCTTCTTCTGTGGGAGAGTCTTTATCCAGACACCAAAAGGGGGGGGGGGGGGGGCAAAGAGTCCAGATGGTGTTTTTGAAGCGTGCAAAGCCCAGCAATTCTCCCATTTGAGGGGGTACGACTTTCCGCACACAAAGTGCGACGCAGCCTCTTGAGAGCTCAGAGCCAAGTGAATTCAAGTGGCCAGCACATTTTCAACAGAGTATGCACCAGCAGCAGGAGCATAAAGGGGAAGGAAAAAAAATAAATGCAGGAATTGTGCCGAAGTTTACGCCCCAAGCAGCCAGCCAGATTTCCCTCCTCTGCACTGACATTGGGAAAGTCAAGGGAGCAGCTCTCGGCTTTCTGGTGCAAGGAGGGCACAAACTGCTCAAGAAGCCAGTCGGTCACAGCAGAATAAGGAGGCAAGATCACATGTGGAGAGGAGCAGCAAATGGTCTCCCCACCCCAACCTTTCAGGCAGCCCAAGGCAAGAGTAAACAAGCTGGAGGGGAGAAAAAGAGAGAAAGAAAATCACCACCACCAAGTACATTTCCACAGTTGCTGGAGTGGATGTAGGGCTTTGACGCGCCAGGGCCATGGGACACAACAGAAGGGGCAGGAAAGGGCATGGCTGTGTTGGAAGAACAAACTCCCTGGCACGGCCCGACGGTGCGGGGGCGACCACTTCTGCCCTTGCCTTTGTCTTTCCAGCAGGTCCAAAGTGCTGGGCTGCCCCGCTGAGCTCCCACCCCACCACTCAACCTGTTGCAAGGGGGCTAGACAGACCATTTAGTCTGCACATTAGAGGGGTTTCAGCCCTGACCGCCAGATCTGGGCTCCACTATCGAACTACGGGCTCCTTCCTCCTGTCTTAGTGACATTGCCATAGCCTTTGTAATGATTTGTTTTCAGGAGGCCTGAGCAAAAGCCAGCAAAATTTGTTCCACACGTTCAGCTGCCCTGTGGGTTTGCCAAGTTAGACGGTAAAATAAAGTAAAACATGCAGATAGCAATGACTTGATTTGATTGGGAGGGACAGATGAGAAACTGGGCAAAGAGCAGAAAGAACAGGCCTGGGGGATCAATGGCAGCAGGACAAGCCAAACCGGTTTAACATTAATAATGCTGCACTCCTTTCCAAACACAGCTATCATCAACAAGACACCAGCTTTGCTGATCAGGAGGCCTCTGAGCACAACTGCTTTAAACCAACAAACACAGAGGCTGCAAACAGCACCAAGCCTCCCGCTTGCCCCCATCAACCTCCAGCTGACGCCTCTGGGGCTGGATTTGTGAGGGCCACCAGTGCTGCAGGTGCAGGAGGGTGACACCAGCCTGCATGGAGGCTTCTAGGGTTTATCTGGAGGTGCAAAAGCAGGAGGGCTGTAGCACCCCCGTGGTGCCTGTGCCCCTTGGGATGCTGCCGGGCTCAGACTGCCACAGCCCCCCTGCACCAGGCACAGGCAGCCACGCTGCATGAACTCCCCCTTGCTCCATCCCACTGTTTCTGGAGGCCAACTAGGTTCTGGAAGCACCAGCAGGGCTTGAAGATGCTGCTGTACCCCTACAAGGCTGCAAACCTCGGGCATCAAACCCTCCTACTGATCCCTTTTGTAGCTAAACTGGCAGCTTTCAACTCCTCCCCATCTGCCGGTCCCTGGGGGCACCATTTCGTTATACACCGCAAGCAGGTGAGAGCCTCCCCCGCACAGCGTCTGCCTCCCGCCGCTCCGGCCTCCCCTCCCCGCCGCACCACGTTCTCACAGCAAGTTACCCCGTGTCGCAACACGGGCCACCCCCGGCCAAACGTCACACGCCGGCACCATTCCCCACCCTCTTACACATCCCGGGTTGCTCCACACGGAGAAAGCCCAGGCGCAGCGTGGAGGCACGCCGGGGGAAGCAGCCAAGGCATTTTTATTTTGCAGGCTCGGGGAAAAGAGCCGAGCCCGCAATCGCTCTCCGAAGCCGGGCTCTTACATAAGACATAATCCCCGGCGTGTCAAGAAACGGCTACCTGCGCTCGGCCGTCCCGCGCGGCCCCGCACGTTTCGGCAGGGCTATAAGGGGGGAAGGGAGGAGCAGCAGCAGCCAAGCTCTGCCAAACCCCGCGTCATCCTCAGCCGCCTCCGCAGCCCGCATCGTTCACTCGGGCACGGCTTTGGGTAGCGCAGTTTTACGGCATGAGCAGAGTCCCTCTCGCTTAGCTAGCTGATGGTGACAAGCACACCTCCTCCCACGACTCCCCCGAGCTCTATACAAGGATTTACAGACTTCATCTGTTCAAAATTTATCTTCTTTACAGAAATCCAACTCCCGGCCGTTTGGTTCTCCAGGGACACCGAGCTGCATTTCATACCAAACATGGTCAGTGCAGCCTCCAGGCACCTTCTGCCCCAAACTCTGGCCCTGCTCTTGAAGAGGCCATGGGGATAAAGGCTCTAAAGAAGGGCGGATTTGGGCTGCTTGGTCCCGGCAGAGGGTAACTGTCCATGCCGAGAGACGCTCTCCAAGGAAGAGTTTTCCGCATTTCAGCCAAGCTGCGGGGCACCCCGCATTGGCAAGACACACAACACAAGCACGGGGAGGCAGAATCCCGGCACCTCCACACGTGCCCAGAGCAGCCGGGCTCTCCCACTGCGTTATTACGAAGAGACTCGTAACCCCCTCACAGCAACGCCTCATTTTTCTCTCCCCGTGGAGGCAGGGCAGGTGTAGCACTCTCGCACCCCAGGGCTCCCGCTCAGCCCAGCCCGGCAGGGGGGCGCCGGAGGCGAG